TGGAGGGATGATTCTCAGGGCCATCCATCCGCACTTCCAAAGGTGAGAGGTTGTTCGGTTCTTGGTGTAGTTGGACTCATTCCCCAGTGGGTGTTTGCGTCTCCGCAGGGGGAGCTGCCTTTAGTCACATCCTGGTTTGGTGATTTTCATTGGACAGAGATATCGGACGGGCGTAGTCCATGGGGGGGGGCCAGGAGTTTGCAGTTCGGTGGGGCTTGGGGGATGAATCTGTTTTTGCGAATGCGTGTTGGCCTGGATGGGCATCGTCGCCTGTGGCTTCGCACTCACTGGATGGGTTCCGCAGCCTGGGGAGTGTCAGGAGGCTGGGATTTAGGTTCGCTCTCTTAACCGGGGGCCATGGTTCTCAGGCAGGAAACCAGTGGATTGTCGTACTCCGTGCCTTGGGGGAGTGGTTCCTTCCCAAGTTGAGGAGTTCAGTGACCGTCGAGGGTTTTTGTTCCGGGCGAGCCTGAAATGGAGCCGGGGAGTTGGCCGGGAATTGGGTGCAGCAGCGGCCCCCAGTATTGCGGTCCTTTAGAGAGAAGAAGAAGAAAAGAAAGATGAGAAGAGGAGATTCTCCCCCAAGGGGACTTGTGTTTTCACTTTTTTTTTTTTACACACATCAACCAACGGCTGAATTCATTTCATGCATTGTGGACATGCACGGAGAGAGTGGATTGGGTGCACGTTTAACCCGAACCATGGCCCCGGCTTGGGGGTTAGGTTGCCTTTGCCTCCCGGGACTTCGCCGGTGCAGGAGGGTGAACTGGCACTCTCGCTAGGGCCGGGCCAACGGGACCAGGGTGGCCTGACGGCCTAGGGTCCCCAAGGTCAGAGACGTAGGCCGATGTTGGCCTGGGAAGGGAAGGTTTGGGTCTTGCCAGGATTGTCCTTGCGGGACCGTCCGGATAAGCGGCTGAACATGGATCAGTGAGATGGTGTCATGCCCCTCCGCCGAGGAACACTATGGAATGCTGTGTAAATTGTATGGCCTGTTATTTGTCGGCCCGTTTTTTGTCTTTTTCTGAACCTCCCAGTGTTTTACCTCTGCCATTTCCTCCCCCAGTGGGGATGGAAGCCTCTCCGAGCTCAGGCATTCAATTACCATTGCACACAATGCACAGCTTCGGGGCATTTTTTGCGGTTCGTTTTTGCTCCGGTATTTTTGGCTTGTGGCAGGGAGGGCCGGGTTCAATTGATTTTTGACTGTATTTTTGCAAGTATCATGTTCTTGTCGTACAATTCGTCACCTCTGTTGGTAGATTCAGGAAAACCGGGACTCGTTGCCACAGTGTAGTCAGATGGGCTGCCGTCCTACAGCTTTTCAAATAAACAATAATTACTACATAATGCTTTTTTCTCTGGATTAAGTTAAAGTAAGCAAGTAGCCATCCTGGAAGCACATTATTAGCTGCTCAAGCAAAGGGTTTTTGCCTTTCACCTGGCAATGCGGGCGAGTGGACCCAACAGTTTAAATGTAATGAATATGACTGTTTTCATTCCGACTGTTGCACTGAATGGAGTCATGCCATGTTTTTGATGGATGGACTGAATTTTCGGCCCTTTTCCCGGCCAAGGTCTTGCAAAAGGTTTTCACTGCTACTTTCTTCCTTTTAAAAAAAAAAAAAAAAACTGTGATAAGAATTAACATTGTCAAGCACGGTAGAGAACAGCTTCAATCTTCCCTCACAAAATGAAATTATGCAAAGTCAAACAAGGATTCGCATAATATGTTAAAGAAAAAATGACTAAAAAAACAGCCACTCATGCCCTCGGCTGATTAAAACAATCAGTTTAAATATCTGTACCTATTTCAGAAGCATTGTGAGTAGGGGGAGGAGGAGGCATTTCTAACAGAAAGGTTGCAATTAGGATGGCGGTCTGTCACAGCCAGGATTACAGCTGTTAAATGTGATCATCAGTGGGGGTCAGGAAAGTAAAGCCAGTCAGCTGTAATTAAGGACAAGTGATGATATTCTTTCCCACTCCACCTCTATCCATCTCTCCTTCTCCCTGCTACAGGGAATGCTGGATTATTCCCTGTCTGTCTGTGGAATTTGTACTTTCTCCAAGGTCAAGGGTTTTGTTGTTAGAAAACATGGAGTATGACATCTCAGCAGTATTTTCTCAATTTTTATATTATTAAGGAAAATCCAATTTTCTTTTAATGTTATTTAATTACTTATAATAACTTTTATTTAACCAGGAAATCATGTGAGATGGAAATCTTTTCCCATAGCCAAGACCGCACAACTACAATTTAAATAGAAATAAAACACAGTCGACAGGGAAAACAAACATCACATACAAGCAGAGGACTAAAGGCAGCTCAAGGCAGTTGCATTTCTCAGTTTTTAAGTTCAAGTCCAGTGAGCAAAGTAGGAGAAAGCTTTTTTTCCCAGCTCAGTAAAAACCCTTGGAACCTGGCAAGGGCTCCCTCCTGGTTGAACAAAGCTGAAGACTGCTGGAGAAGAGGAGGAGATTCCACAAATATCAGGGGAATCAGTTTGCCCCTGTACACAAAAATATACAAATTAATTTGTCTACGTAGACTTTTTCCTTAAGAGACCCATTTTCTATCTTTGAGTAAACTGATAGAAGTGACATATTTTATGGATTATTATATTCAATGTATAACAATACCATTAGAGAAGAACTGATAAACTGTACAATAAACCCAAACAGTGAACAAAATATCTGCAGGAAGTTTGTGTAAAATTAGTCATTTGGATAGATTTTTAGCAGATAAATATTTATCAGATGGGTTTTCCTAGTTTGTAGGAACATTTCATACAATTCTGTCTGTATGTATTTTTAATTTTTTAACAATTATACATACTTAATATGCTTTTTAAAATTTCTTCTCATTGTTTTATTTGTTCTTTGGTTTGTTTTAAAAAAAAATTCTAATGCAGGGCGAGGCTGTTTATCAGAGACTGAAGGCTCTGTGAATATAAATTTTTTTAATTTAAAAACAATTTCATTTAATCACAGAAACAAAGGAAATGCTCAGATATAGGTCGGAGGGTGTGTGCAAACTACAGAGGCATCACACTACTCTGCCTCCCTGGGAAAGTGTACTCTGGAAAGTGGTGTTGGAAAGGAGGGTTCGGTTGCCAGGAACCTGTGCGGGAGGTGGAGGTATCGATTAGATTGGTGGGCTTAAGTCTATGCACAGGTGAGGCTCTGGATCCTTACTCCTGGATAGGGGTTGGACTTTATTCTTCTCTGGAGTTGCTCAAGGTGTGAGGCGCCGGGCTGGTGTGGGGATACTAACAAGCCCCCGGCTGAGCGCCGCTACGTTGGAGTTCACCCCGGTGGACGAGAGGGTCGCCTCCCTACGCCTACGATCTGTGGGGGGGGGGGGGGACTCTGACTGTTGCACCAAACAGCAGTGCAGAATATTCGGCCTTCTTGGAGACCCTGAATGAAGTCCTGTATAGGGCTCCAGT